CGCCCCGCTGCTGCACCGCCCGACCTGCCGTGTCCTGGCTTCGCTCCCTGCCGCTCTGGTAGCGTTAGGGGTCACACGGAAACCTCGGCACCTCCCTGCAGCTGCTCTCATCCAGCAGCTCTATCCCAGCGTTCCCGTTCCTGCCCCGGCCTGCTTGTGGGAATAGCCCTTGCGGAACGTCCTGCTCGGGGCGCTGCTCCCGTTGGGCCGCAGGAAGGACAAGGCGCAGGACCTGCGCTGTCGCTTCGCTGAAGTGACTGCACCGTGTGGTGCCCTGAAGTATCTCTGTAGGTGCTGTGTGGCTTGAACCGCCTGTTGCCGTGAAACACACCCGTATGGTAGCCGTATGTTGCAGGAATATGTCCAGTTACCAAGGTACTGTAGATACTCGGGAAGGTAACAACATCTGGGAAATCTGCCCTCTACTGTATTTTTTAACGCACTTCAGAAAGTATGGCTTTAACATCCTACATCTTTGGGATGCCTCCGCAATATTGTGTTGATTAAATAACTTTTTTTAACCTCACAATCGGATATATTCAGATTGCACTGAATGCTGTGCAAGTTAGGAAAACATATTTTGAGTCCTGCAGTCTGTTAGTACTGGAAAATGAGTCTGGTGTTTTCAGTTCTACTAGCTAGTTTACTTAAAAGTATATATATCACCTTATCTATGAAAGGCACTTTTAAACCAGTAATATCCCTCAAGCCCTGCAAGCAGTCTTCTCGGAGGGTGGCTGGGCTGTAGGAGCTTCTTAGGAATTCTCTTTGCTGTTTTTTAAAATGGCAGGTGCTTCTCACCCAGTTGCGGCCGTGCTTGCTGCACTGGGGATGTGGCAAGCCTGGCAATCAACAGGTTCCTGCAGTTCTCTCTAGCAAGGCAGTCTCCAGCACTTTGATTAACTGGCCAGAGTCTGCAGGTGGGTACAGAAGGATGGGAAGCCTGTGTGCCTGGTGAAAAGCTTGCTGTGTTTTACCCTGTAACGGGGGAAAAAAATGCAGGCTAATTTTGGGGAAACGGACCTCTCTGCTGCAGCAATTCCACTTTGCTTGCTGCATTACATTTGCAGTTCATTGTCTAAACTATCCCAAAATGAGCAAAGTGGGAAAATCCTTTACATTAAATTACGGGACAGAATGGAAATGAGACATATTGGATTCTATGCTGTCATAGCCCAAACAGACTAGTAATTCCAAGAGTTGCTGGTTTACCTACAGTTTCCTTTATGATACATACACTGCTGAGGGTTCATTCTGCTTTGCACGGTTGTGGTTTCTGAGGGTAGTATTTTTGTTTTGAGTCTTAACTGGTGTTTGAGCACCAGGCTGAAGCTCCCTTTCAGAAGTTAACCCGTGTGAGAGTGGTTTTGGTTTTCCTTTAGAGAAAACTGTCTTTATCTGAGCCTCCACTGTTGGCATTGCAGAGGGGCTGTCAGCAGAGAGCAGATGGTGTCTTTAGTTTGCACAGTGTTGTGTGTTACTAGGTTAGTGTTAAACAGTTGCACAGATGGTTCCTTAGGTTTGTACTGCAGTACACTCAGACATACTGGATCTCACACAATGCATCTTCCAAGTGCTTAAGATGAACCCTTTAGCCCCAGTATCTGAGATTGTGCAGCTGGCCTGTGCTCCTGAGCCCCAACATTTAGAAACTGTTGTACCTGTGTGACCTATGTCCCAACTCCTTATCCTGGCAAGGTCCGTGCTTGTTACTTTTTTTTTAACTTTTTTTTTTTTTTTTCTCCCCCCTGTCCTTCATCCTCTGTTTTCCAAGGGAAGCCTAAGTGCTGCACAACAGCAGTGCACAGCCCCAGTCTGCACAGTCTATGGACCAAGACTGTTGGATTGATGCTGCTGGACGCAAATTCCCCAGAGAGAATGCGTAGCTCATCCTGCTTTCCCTTAAAAAGGTTTGCCTTCCTAACCTTCCCTCTATTTTCCAGCCTAAAGTCAACCCCAGGATTCTAAATATTTGATGCGTTACCAGATTTAAACAAACACCCAAACCCAACACAGCACAGCAAAAAAAGCCTACATCCCAAAGTATTTTCAATGAGAAATCAACCAAAACAACAGAAGCTTACTTAGCATATCATAAACCTGTTGGCTTTTGTTACCTTACCTGCCTCAGACTGAGTAATATGTTATCAATTACACTTGTTGAGCACTTTAAATGTGAAGCTTTAGGGATTTAGGATATATCCAAAACAGTAAGATTCCTTTTATAATGCAGAATGTGTCCCAGGAAAGGCATACCTGTGCATGTGTGTGGAGTTACCAAATAGCACCTTGCATTTTAGGGGAGTGCTTTGTGTCCCCTTTGGATGGAAGCAGCCAATTCAAGCTCCTGTATAACAATTCTTGCTTCTATCAGC